TACTGAATTTTTTCATAGAAAAAGAAGACGAAAACATGGAAAAAATAATTTTGCTGAAGTATCTAAAAATTTAGTTAGATACAGATTTGAAAATAATTTTGTTGAACCATGAAAATAAAGTAGTAGGAGGAAAATAAACAAGCACGATGAGCAATGCTGCAAAAAGTTTTGGTAAACCAGTTTGAGCGTTCTACATAATTATTTTGATGAGCCAACTAAATTATTTTCAGATTTGTATCCAGCTAAAATTTTAGATAATTTAGCAAAACTGTTCTCAAATCTGTACTATTTTTAAAACTAAAAAATCAAGATATAGCGTATTATTTTATTTTATTATAAGAGAAAGATAAAGAATTTTTAGATAACGATTACTTTTGAATTCAATGATAAATTTTAAATGATGGAAATTATTAAATATTTCTACTATTTACGTAACTTTCATAAAAATCAATTTACGTAATTCATAAGAATCATACAAGCATTAAGATCCAGGTAGACCGTTTAAGGCTTTAATCTCTATAGTGTATGTTATACGGTTCTATAATATATTATATTTTTTACGTAATTTTATCAATTGGAGCAACAAGTATAATATAATGACAGTAAAAAGACAATTGTAAATTTGAATTAATCAGTTTCTAATACTAATATACGATTGAATGTTTACCATCGTACATTACGTATCGCACGTATAGTTCTTAGGCTATTTTTCCTTTACAGCCTGTGTCATAGCATCCGCAAAAATCAGAAACAAAGGTGAACTCAAAGATGTACCAAAAGTTTGTAGGTAAATGACATTATTAAAAGTAAAATAAGTCTTTAAACTTTATTACAAACTGATTTATGCATATTATTTCTATAATTTTTCCCATTTTAACTTTCTTTCTGATAACATCGCTTAGATTTTTTTTATTACTTCTGACTTAACTCTTTGAATGACGAATAGATTATGGACGTTTATATATTGATTGACACTTTTATGTTGTTTTCTCTATGTTTAAAACGGACTTGTTAATAATGTATTTATCGTATTTAATTTATCTTTTACATTGTTTTGTCTTAATTTATACAGTAGGTATTTCAACTTTAATGTAACCTGTCTGTTTCAATTTTAACTTTTATTTTTTATTAACTTTATATTTATTTATTAATATCTGTATTTATTTCATAAGGTATGATGTCCAAACCATTCTCTTTTTATTTATATTTTCATTTATTTCATTGATTCAACTAATTATGCTAATTTTGTAACTTTTATCATTACTGCTGAAGACTCTATGCAGTCGGAACGTTCAGTGTTCTTTGAATTTTTCAAATAAATAAAAATCATCCTATTTTAAACATACACATACATCAACATTACTTGTTAATGACCGTTGAGCTCTCCTAATTGAAAATAATTCCACTTTTTTAAGAAAATTCTACTTTCTATTTTACAGTTCGAGTAATATTAATGCCTCGACATTTCACTTCGAGGAAAATTTATTCAAGTTGGTCAAAGAATTAATTAAGGTTAATGGTTCTGGAACATCTTATATAATCTGCATCTCGATCGAACATCTCAGGGGAAAACTCGGAAGTTTCAAATTTCTTCTCCTGTTTCATAATTTAATTTATAGCATAATTTAATATATAACTCATTAATGTCATAATAAAGCCGAATGTAATACCCAATAAAATTTCGATCTTAAATCAATATTTTTAGGAGTAATATCGATTTGACGCTTATTGTTAGCTTTGTCTAGGAGAGCTAGTGAGTGCCAAGAGGAAATATTTTCACGGTGCGTTCTGCGAGCTACCGAAAATAATACGCGACGTAAAGAGTGTGCTATGTCCGTTTGTCTCTGACACCATAACACCATAACGTTTGTCGAGAACAGTCTCGAACATGAGAGATGACAGTGACGGCGATGCCACGAATCGGTTTCGACATCGATTCTAGGTTGTCGTTTTCCCAAACCACCACACGAAATTTCAATTCAATTCCCGAACGACGAATGAGAAAAGTCGTTTCTGAAACCGACCGCGGTTATGACTTGTCAAAGTGAGATTTTGTCACTCGCAATTCTCTTTTGATAAAAAAAAAAAACAAAAAGAGTAATATAATAAGAATACACATCAATGCATTTCTTTGTGTACCAATCGCATTTGAACAAAAAAAATGTTAAAATACAAGCATTGATGTGTTTTATATTCATGTAATATATTTATGTCATATATTTCTTGTATTAGAGGCATTGTAGATGATTTAGGGTCTCCGAGGAAAAATTAATGGGAAAATATGGCATCCCTGCACAGAGATATCGCCCGGTAATTGCCACAGCTTTCGAAAATTCTCTTAAATATGACAGATGGGAGAACGGCCGAGGAACTCGACATGAATTTCGTAATGGATCCATCATAATTACAGGGGTGCATTTTCGGCTAATATCGTGTGAAAAATAACGAGAGGCTCTCGCGGAATAAAGGTGGTATTAATGATAAGTGAGGAAGTATCGAGAACGTATCAAGAATTGATAATTCGAACTGCGAGTCACTACGACAGTCACGTACACCGACTGATGGGCATATATATAGGTATATGTACGCTATACATTGTGGAACCAGTTTGCAATCGGAATCAATACATTGGCGAAACGGTTCTCTAATATCCCGCTTTGATGTCTCGTCCGATTTTATCCAACTCATCGATTGCTTCAAACACAAGATGGGAATTATACATGACAATCCCAGCATGTTTGGAAAGCCTGATCAAAAGCGTCGCACAAGAAAATCAACAAGAAAAAAACAGTAGACCGCTATGGAGAATTCACGAATAAGTGGAAAAGAGTTAGTAAAAATAAAAAATCGATTGATGGAAACAATTGGCCTTCGGTTTTATGATGGAGCCTGGTGGTGTGCTGTTCACAATTCCCGCGCAATCTTAGGAAAATCGCGCGAAGCACCCCGCAGGGAGAAGTCCCATTATCTCTGACATGTCAAAAACTTGGACGAGAAGAGTCGGTGACTTTTCCCGATGCGGTATCGAGAACCGGAGATTGGATCTGCCGGTGCGCCATGAATATTCACGAGGACGCGGATGTCATTTTATGCAGTTCATTCGGCGTTTCGGTGTAAGGTGAACCCAACGGTGGAAAGGTGCGATCACTGCTGGTTATTCGTGTATTAACCCTGAATAATTGAGGGTTTCGGTATTATCAGCGCTTGTGATCGACCGTTTGACTCCCGATTGATAGATCACCTCGAATTATGAATTCTTCGAACTCTCAACGGCTAATAAACTCGTCAGTCTCGATGGATTAACACTTCAATGTCAACGTGGACATTTTGTTGAAATGGATCAGATGTCCGCAGACGCGCGCGCTCGAATAGAAAATCCATCAAAATTCGTCGATACCATCGGCCAATTCGAGTACAGCGCTCATTGTGGAATTGGTGGAGAAGAGCGCGTAATATTTTACGTAGCCTACCATCGTTGCAGGACCAAAGGAGCCGTTCGAGAGAGGCTTATTGCGCGGAGCCTCTAAAATATGCATCACCGACGGCGTTTACATGTCGAGATACGTAGTGCGCTATGTAACATGCAGCACGCCTTTACAGGCTAACGCGATGTACTGGTTGCCCGACGTATCCAAAATTCAAATCACGCTGCACTCTTCCTCGAACGACCCTTCGTAAATGTGGACGTATAAGCCTGTGAGATGTCGAAGGCGCCCATAGACATTGCGATTTTACGAGGGAACGTGGCGACCGCACTGGCGTCTGGCAAGAAACTAGCAAGAAATGCATATGCACCAAATGTATCAACACGCAATAAGATGACATTATCCAAGTGAGAAATAGACATAACAGCGAAAAATGTCGATTTTGATTGATTATATGTAGCTGTTTCGAAACTTATTCATGATCTACGATGAGATTTTTTAATTTCCTATTTAGATGATCGAGATGTATCATTAGGAGATGATTTATCTGAGTACAAGAATATATCTAAATCGGCAAATTGTTGAAAAGTAGACGTCGAAATTGATGTGAAGGTGTTATCCGAAGAATAATAGACTCCTATTTTTCCAGCAACCTGACAATAAAACCTTTATTGATAGCTAAGTGTAATTGCAAAGGTATGTTCGACTAATCGATACGCGAGTGAAAGTGCACGCGCACCATTGGCGATAATAAATATACGGAAACGAGAGCTTTCGAGACATCGAGAGCCCCGCTAAACGATTTAACGACAACAACCGGAAAAGTGTGCGTGTGATCCGTGAGAGGAAAAAGAAATGGAGTCTCGCTGTATAGATCGCTGTTACACGGGTGTCGCCCGACGAAAATGTTACGCGACGTCGTTTGGTCGTCCGTGATCGAAGTAGAGTCGATCTTGACTACTTTTCTTCCGTCGTCAAAAACGAAACAAACGTAGGACAGTCAGCAGTGGCGCCGAGAGTATAAAGTATCAACGGAAAGTATACTTACAAAAAAGTAAAGACGTATAACATACGCGTGTAGATATGTAATATATATGCAGTGTAATATACATTATAATATACATCAAAATATACATCATTTTATATCATATCATTAATAGGATAATTCTGTCATTATTAAATAATAAGATATTACTTACTAATTTAAAATACAGCTTGAAAGCTAAAGCTAAAAAAAGTTTTTACAAGTAAAAAATTACAATAAAAATATTAGCTAAGATTCCTCGATAAATTAACTTCAAAGTTTTCGATTGTGTAACATAATAAAAAATATCTTCCATCCGTTAGAACGTAATTTTAACGAAAGTAATTTAGCGAAAATTAAAGTCTTAAGAAGTGAAAAAATTTACACGTGATTTATTTTAAACATCTACGTGTCTTGCGAGCTTTTATTCCAAGCTAAATGTATACTGTGTATATATTACATATCGTGTAAACAGTAACAATTCCAACCGAAAAGAAAGGAAGAGGTGTGTCTGGCTGGTGTGCAGGCAGGCATGCTAAGAGTTACGTTACCTAGGGTGAGCTTCTCGCCGGAATCGGGCGGCAGGGTGAAGCCCAGTAGGGCCATGCTCGATATCAGCACGCAGGGCACGATCAGGTTGAAAAAGTAGTAGAGGGTTCTCCTGCGTATCTGTATCGTGAACGTGACGTCAACGTACGGCTCCGGACAGCATTGATATATTAACGTGTTCTTCTTGCCCGGCATTCCTGAAAAAAGTGCCAGCACCGATGTACACGCCGACATATCTGTCCAAGGGACTACATATGACATGGATACATTTCAACACGACGGAGTATAATCGCTTGTCTATCGATTACACTCCTCGATTACATTCCGACCCTCACTTTCTTTTTTTTCTATGCTTATTATTATATTCCGACCCTATCTTTCGTTCTTCTGTCGAGAACATAATAAAGCACTTTCTTATAAGTATATCACTACCCCCATATCTCTTTAGTATTGCTACCTTTTGTCTTCTTTACTTTTTGTTACTATATCTATATTATGTCTTGAGGGGACTAAAATCCCAAGTCATAAAGTTGGGTCTATCTATCATCCATCCATCTGTTTTATCGCGAGGCTACGTGAACTCGTGAGAGAGCCGTAAATGTTGTCAAGTCATGGCGGCATCCAGCACCGAAAGATTCGTGCGAGCGAGTCACGTCGACCTTTCTGTAACAATTTTTCTACGGTTCTCGCGGCCTTGTTTTAAACTACCTTAAGATTACGACTCGACTCGTAAGGAACAAAAAGATCTTGTGGATTTGCGAATTTCCGCTTCCGTTCCAGTTCATTGCGGCGAGTTAAGTTACTAAAACAAAACTTGTCATCCTCGCGAATTTTAAATACGATGCACCTGTCGATGCATTTTCTCGAAGATGATGGAAATGTACTAAAAGCTAAAGGAGACCTTTGACCGTTCTGTATGTTTTTCGTGGATGGAGGATTTCTTAATAGCTTCCGATCGGACGGGCTCTCGAATCGATCTCGAACATCGCGGTATCGGACACTCACTTGTTGCTGGCTCGTATCTCAGAACACTTTTTCTTTGTATTTCGACGCGTGGACCACGCTCGATTCGCCCGCCTCGAGATAATTAACGTATTTCCGAAAACACGACTTTAGGGCCGATACTCTTAATTACGCGCGTCGATATGTCGATTGTGTTGACCAACACAGGAGAGCATCGAATATATCATTTTGTCGGTCGGAGCAGGTCGAAAGTATCGAGCTGTGTTCATGCGTTTATTTTTTGACAACGTAATTGAGTACACTTTGTCTCTGTCACTTCTTAAACAGCCGGAGTTTTATTAATTAGCTTCAAATTTTTCTTCCATTTATCTCTTTCACTTTGCATAAAAAAAGATTACTTTATTCACTTCCATTAGATTCATTAACAAAATTATTAACAGAAATATAAATGTACATATCACTCATTTATTACAACAACACAAGTAAAAGAAGTTTTTCAGAAAATAAGTTTGAATATTTTGAATCATTAAAATTTGTAATTAATTTTATTACAATTCGATTAATTTTAAAATGCAATTTTAGTGAAAACAGTAAATATTACTACTTACTACTAGATATAGATGGATAAAATATGTTTTTTTTTAATTATTTCTTTTTCTTTTCCACTTTTTTACAAACAATTAAAAAATTTTTATTTTTTAATTAATGAAAATTTTTTAATTATTGTGTCGTTGTTATAGTAAACAAGCAATATGTTTCAATAAATTATTTTAACTAATAAAGCACAATGTTACTTTTTATATTTTCATTTCTTTTTCTCTCTTGCAGTTTCATTTCAGGAGAATGCACTCCTCTTTTAAAGGATCTCCCTTATGCGGATATCTTCAGGGATTTTTTCCAAGATGTTAGACCAAGGCTATCATAGATTCTATCTCTCTTTACAGTTTTGGCGTGTCGACAGTCCTGAATCCGCTTCAAGAAAACCGTCGTACATGAGAATGGCACTTTCCGATATGCGAGCTCAAGGAATGTAGTCGTAAAAGAACACAGCCAATAAGTGACGGGTAGGAAAAAGAAGGAATACTGAAAGGAAAGAGCGCTATACTAGGTCGCTATAGAGAATCACCGCCATAAAGTCATACGCCATTGCGGCATCACCGAGACATGGAGGCTTCATAAAATCTTTCAATTTCTATTTAGTCGCGACATCGATCGTGATTTCGCGCGAAACGAGGAACTCTAGGATGACATCCGTGAACACGACGGAGAGGAATAAGAGAAGAGAGAAGGAGAGGGGAGGAGTTGCGGTTTCTTAACGGCTTTCATCAGCATTCCTTTACACACCAATGACGCTGTTTCGTATCACCAGTGAAATTTGCGTTCCAGAATCCAGTTGAGAAGCTGGAACGAATCAGGGTGACAGAGATTTTGTTTAGCAATATATCCCCTCTTCTTTTATGAAAGCCAGAATTTATCGCAGAAGGTGGCTCTAGAATGAATGTTAGGATGAAGTTTACAAATATATAAAACTAAAAAAATATTTTTGCTGAATATAAACAAACAGTAGTATGATTCAAGATAAGAAAGAGGAAGTTATTTAGTTTTTTAAATAATGATATTTTTTTTTACAGAGTTGAGATGCCAGAGCAAATATGTTTATATTCGTAAATATTTAATAAACCGACTTCATGAAGACACAGTCATAACTTGAATTGCGTATTCGTATCATTGCTTAATGCGATGTATTCAATGTGTGACGCAAAGCTAGTCGGAAGCAGAGAACGAGCTCGTTAAGTACTATTTAGCTCGTTGTGAGTACAAGTTTCGGAAATGAAGGATGGCTTTTAAAAATTATACGATTTGTAGTCTTATACCTGCGTTGATATTGAACACAACCTGAATTAATAATTATCTTGTCTGCGTATGTAGTAAAATGCGGATGAGAAATTATACATTAACTGTTGAGATGTAGCCGCGTAATTACAGCCCGAAAATAGAATCGTTGAATTCCATAATAGCTCCTTGCAATATATTATTGCATTCTATTCGTAATTCCATTCCCATTCCGTACTTTCACAATGTACACGCTGTACAAACAGATTCGCAAATTGCGACGGATTAACGGTAGATGTATATATCATTGTGCATACGTGCCGAGAACACACAAGGATGAAGTCTGAACGTGAAACGGCCAGAGAGAAAATTTAAATTATGTCAAACTGACTTCTTTCTTTTCTTCCATATCTATATTAATCATTTTTTCTTCCCAAAATAATTTTATGGAAGTGCAAATAAAATCAATTATTATGCATACACAGAGAAAAATGTAAAGTAATATGCGCTAGAATTCTAGTAAATGTTATTAGAATCAGCGAGTTCATATAGAGACAGGTGCTTACTTGTGTTAAAATTTGTATTAATTTTTTTATGTAATTGTCGTATAATCATGTAAGGTATTTTTTTATATTTTGTAAATTTCGAGAGTTGTTCGTGCTTAGTCTCGAAAATAGTATGATTTACTAAATTTATTTTATTGTAAGAGGTAAATCGAATGGATTTACTATAATTGTAATGTACTTTTTACCTTATCTCTCCAGCATTTTTACTTTCAGGCAAGTAAAGCTTGTTAAAAGTTCGGCAAAGTATTTAATACAAAATATAGCTAGAATATTTTTACTAGTCTTGTAAGGTAAAAATTATTCAACCTTTTTTTTCCATGTACAATAGAAGCGAAAATATTTACTAAAAAGTATGAGTGTAAATTTAACACCATGAGTATTAAATCCATGGTGTTAAATTCACGCTATGTTGGTGTTTATATCAACACCAATACGGTGAGAATTATAACATGGCATAGTATAATATTTATTTTAATTTTTTATATAAGTTTAATAATAATTAAAGAGTACCTTTTAACTGGTATTTCACCGTTAAAACAACACATCGATCGAATTTTGGTTTAGAATTTTATTCCAATCAGCAATTTTTAATGAGAGACAAAGTGTCATAAATAATCGTTGATATCTTAAGCGTTGCTAATATATATTTGTTCTAAATAATATTAATCAAATAAAATTCTTAAAAATTTTTATTTGTCCTTTATATGTATAAAGATACTTTATATTTGAATCAACGTTTTATACTTCCGCATTCACTGTAGAACCCATTCATTGACGCGCATCGAGTCGATTCGAGATTTTATTCTCAGCCTTCTATAGGCTCCTTCTATAGGTTCCTTTACGCACACAAATACGGACACAAATACACGTGCCAATACAGAGGCAAAGTCTGATTGGCCTGACAGGTAAACTTGCTCAATGAAACTCACCGATGAGGTACCATTCCCCGTTCATGATGAAATCGGATAAGTCACCACCCTCCTGTGAGTTGAGTACCAGATCGAGCTACCAAGGTCAAAGTTTGATTAAGACGGGCACGTATCTACATGATAGGGACATTCCGTTAGGTAACTCGAAGCCGAACGTACGCATGCAGCTATGAATTCCGCTTGCATCTACGTCTACATCTACTCTACGAAATGATGCATTCACAAACCGACGTTACATGATAAGGCGTGCAACGGGAGAATCCGCTCGGCCGTGGGACGGTGCGAAGAAGAGACGGTGATTTCTCTCTCGTGAAGCAGCGCACCGTGCGCGCCTGGAAAAGCGCGTTCGTGCGGCCGACAGGCGGAAAACTAGCTCTTTATCGTAGCTGAAAATTGCTTTTCACGTGGTCAAGAAGTTCTCATTTCTGACGAAGTGTTCGAAACTTCCTCGGCTCCGCCACGAATGCGTAGCAATCACATGGCCGCTTTACGCGAAACTTGTATCGTGTGCCGTTGTAAATGTTTAATAAGGCAACATACGTATATGTATATATATATATATGTACCACTTCTGCAAAAGTTGGAGGAACGGAAATCGATTGATTTTAACTTTCGAGAAGGTTCAGACTATTATATATCTCACGATACAAAATTTTCGAGAATTCAAAACATTTTTACGATAATTTGATAAGTTCTCTATCCAATAAGTTTAAGGAAGGTGTTAATTTAAGAACTTCGCAAAAAATAAAGTCAATAGTCTCTATTTTTATCGTATCATATATATTTTCATTACGATAAATATTAGCTTTAAGAATAATTTGATTCATGTAGATATGGCGCTTATTATAATATTACTCCGCACAGATATTTTGATGTCTGATAAGAGCTGATCAAAAGATTGTACAGTCTGCTACTTCTCTACGCGGATATCGCGCTGTACAATCATATTAAAATAATTAAATCTTGAACAAAAGATTCCTGTCGTTCCCATCTCTTCTCTTATCTACACGAGGAGGATTGGAGGACGGGAAATAAAGTGACGATGTCGGAGATACCTTGAAAGGATTTTCCAGTCTTTTTTAAGTCCCGTATCGTTCGCCGAGTATCTGTTGCTCTTTGATCTAGAGCCAAATAGGATATGGTTTGGCTGGTTCCCATGGGCCATTGAAGGCTTCGAAAGAGCCCTTTTCCGATGGATAGAATTGCCCTGGGCAATTCAATATTTAATCATTTACAGAGGCGCGTTATCGCAGAAAGACCTACGTGAATCATAAACCGAATGGGATAATTTTATGTAAACACGTAAGTACTTGGATATTTTCATATACAAGTCTTGCAAACGCCTTTTCGTTCCTTTTCGTTTTTCGCGATACCGGCAAACGTTATTTCTTGAACGAGAGATATTATTATTCGTAAAGACGTTATTTTCCAATATTCCTGGGCACAATGAAGGTAAAACGAATTTGATAAGACTTCAATAGTCCTCGATGCACTATTTTCGAGAGAGAAGCGGTACATCTTCTTTTTTTGAATATATGCAAAGATCCGCTCGTACTGAGAAAATTGTAAGAAGGTTCTCTTGGGATGTAGCAATCACATTTGCAGTTCGATCGTCACCGTCGATTACGTCGCATTTATTTTCTCGTTCTCAAGAAGATTTCTATTCGGTCATCGACTTGTCCAATCAAATCGATTCGTTGATTCTCTCTCCATCGTCTTTACTCTTTCCCGTCCAAATTGATCCTTACCTCGATTATCTCTCGTAATAATTCCCGGAATAATTCCGACGAGCAAACGCCGAACTGCCAGTTATATGGCAAATGCTTGTACCGTGAAATTCGTAGCGAAAATTACGACGGATACACCGGGCTCATAAAGTTAGCCCCTCATAATTCATTGCGACACGTATATTTTGCCTTCATAGCCCAGTTCAACCCTTATTCACGAAGCGGCTACATGTGGTTTACTACGCCAACGTGATGCATCGGGAATGGACGTCTCAAGATGTAAATGCACTGGCTGTGAAGCGGCGCCACAGCCCTTTAACTAATTAAATTCAATCTTCATATATAACGCCTCTTATCCGACAGGCTTAATCAAGCCGATGACGTTAAGAAGCGACCCCGGAGGGTCGGCTTCTTGTATGTGCATTCGAGTGCCTCGTCTAATAATCATAGCCTCTCGGGTGATTACATTTGGGAATGAGCCGCTTTTCGCTGTCGACCGCAGATCCCACCTGTAAAATCTAGAATCGTAACCGGTATAATTGTGAGCCAGTTCGATTTTCCGTGTACTAATGTACCCTACGATGTCGTGTTTCCATCAATTTGAATAAACGTTGCATGAGGAGTATCCCCGTAAATAGGTAATACCGGAATACGAACCCAGCTAAATTATATCGGTTTCAATTCACACTGCAAATGAAAGCATGCATGCAAACATTAATTAGTAATCAGTTAGAAATGACGCTTAACGTCATTTCAATTGCAACGTAAACGATAATTAAATGAACGCTCCGGTATCTTTAGAGGTGTACGGAGGTTCTGTAACAGACTCGATCTCCGAGAGACCATTCTTTTTATTCGCGAAACTCTCCGAAATATCGACGCTACACGATCGCGTTAGCGACCGTCAGCTTGGAGAGCCTTCAAGAGTTACTCGCGCATTTCTGAAGATGTGATTTTACGAAATAAGACCACACATCGAAAAAGTATGACGGCAGTGGACTTGATGCAGAGGAAGGATCGTCACGGTCGAAGCACAGTCACGCTCGTGTCTCGCGACTATAACGTTTAAAGCCGATTCAAACAGTGAGCACAATTAATCATGCTCTCCCCTATAGCAAAAAGAGTCACAGTAATATCACAACAAAGTCTTAGTGACGAGCAAATGGCCGCTTTGTCACAGTTGTTTGTGTACATATATCGCTACGATATCATGCAGCCGTGATAAAAGTTACCTCTCGCTTGACACTTCTGTGACATCTTGACAATAATATGATGTCGCTGCGACCTTTTAATAATCTCACAGTAACATCATAATTTATACATGATTATCGTGAATTCATTATGATGTGAATGTAACTTTATTTGCTATGAGGCTTTATTAACGAGTTTACATTCACGAGTTTACACGAACTCACATTCAGGCGTTTACACATGTATACACGTACAAACATACACGCGTATGTTTCCCCTGTGATCAGGAATCGAAACTGCGAGCAGTAATTGTTTGGTGAGTCCAATTCTCGATGCTTCGGACATGAAGAGTGCATTTTACTCGTGCGAATGATCGCGGAATATGTATTTGGAAATGATTTTCGCAATCGGACGGCACCGTAATCCGAACTCGCCAAAATTACTCGGGTTTCAATCCCTGTTTTGTAGTTTACTGATGCGCGAACACGTACACACGAACACGTGACATGGGAGGACGGGAGTGGGAATCTGCGTGTTAGCGGTGGAACATCACCTACGCGCCGTCAAGAAAGCATGCAAGCTACGCCGCGCCACGACACGAAATGGCCATTAATTTCTGTACATATATATATACACACACATGACATGCGACACACACACTGTACAGACATATCAATCAATAACAGTTGATGTTGATTCGTTGAGTGACGGAGGGCGAAATGGATCGAACAAAGTACGGGTGTACGACATATAGACGACAAAAGTCTTCAAGTTCGGCATAAATACAGATATATAATTTATATGTCATATGGGGGTTGGGGAGAGCAATCGATATGAGTCGAGGGCAGGGGGGGGGGAGTCAAGGAGAGACAACGTTTATATGTGGCAGAGTAGTAGAAATGCGCTCGGACTGCATTTCGATGGGGGCAGTGCAACCTGCAGCGACGGTGACGGCGACGCAGCGGCGCGTAATCGGAAGGTCGAAAACGGGCTACGCGTTTCGGCACCTATCCCCCATCGGGGTCACGATGGATTACAGCGGTCGTAAATTTCGCGAGACGCGTACGTGCGTGCGAAAACGTGTATCGGGTGTCCTCGCCATTGTCGAGAATTTCAGCCCGATTGGATTCAGTGTTTAATAGCCGCATTTTAGTTGATCCCCGTCCGGGAAACTTTAACGAGCCCTACAAATACATTTCCGGAGTCTATTGGAGATTTCTGAAAAATCACACTTGCACCATTGATGAGAGAAGTGCGGCGATTCCTTGCGACGAAAAAAGAAAAAAAAAAAGAGGGAAGAAAAAGGACCCCCGTTGCATGCAATTGAATTGTTCCGGTCGATAAAGCTTGACTTCCTCGACGAAGCCACAATTTAACGAGCGAGACTTCCGAATGTTTTTCAACATTTTAAATTCACCGAGGAGGACCGAAGTGAACTCGCACGAGAAACATGCAAACGAGCTCGGTATTGATCACCGAATCTCGGGCCGATCGTTCCGCTCGTAAATACCGAATTCGCGATATCGTATTCCACGGGCGCGCGCATATATGCACGCGCACGTGCGTACGCAGTTTGTGCTTTCCGCAGTTCGGGAGAGTCTTTCCTGCGTGATATTGAACGAGGTAAGGGCTAACCAACATACGGCCCATCGCACCGTTTGATTCCTCGTGCAGAGCGTGATCGATACGCGGCGCCGCTAAAATATGCAACGAAAGCCTCTTTTCTCATTTCACGCCAATATTTTAGATCCCGTAAAATAGGGAGGACGAAGATGAAACGTTATTTCCTCGATATAAAATTCGTTAATCGCGACCACTACCAATACTCTACGCGTTATCTCGATTTTTTTCAAAGTGCGACACGAGAGGTGACATCCATGAGATATTTCGCTCGTATAAAATAGCGCGCGACGCATCATAAAGTTACAAAGGTCACGCGCGTTCATCGGTCGGTTGGACGCACTTTTTTTTGCGCGAAATCGCAAAAATCAAGTTAAAATCAAAGAAGAGGAGAGGAAGGAAAAAAAAAAGAAATTCCATCGCTGTCACCGCGCCGTATGCTGCACTGCGAAAGAAGGGCGGCGGTAATGGACACCGCCCGACATTGCGATGTACCTTTATGGACGTGGGGAGTTGGGGGTTTTACGATTCTTTACGA